TGTTAACATCTCTCTAGCCTAGAGGCTGCCTTTCTTTTGTTTACCTTTCATTTGCTATGCACCCATAGCCAGGGCAACTTATCGGAAATATCAGATCTGGGCACAAAGGAGCACACCCCATCCACTTCCCTCAGCCTGCTCTGGCTCCCCGTTCCTGTCTCAGTGTAATTTATATTAGTCATTTAATCCACCGAGTCTAAGAGAATTTGAGCTTTGATTGCATGAAGGATTTCCTTTATCATCCTAAAACAACTGTTTGGTTTTTAGGGGATGTGCTTTAATGGATTAGGGGCGGGGGGTTGGTGTTACATTTCAGACTATCAACTCTGCATTAAAGGGTTCAAAGTACTTGTCACCCCTACCCTGTGTTCTATCCCACACCGTCTGCTTTCTCTTTGCCCTCGGATGGGTCTCCATCCTCCTGCATACTCAAGTTGATACTTGGTTTTTAGAGTAAAAACAAACCTGTGATCAAGCTTATTTATAACAATGGAACAAACCTTCTAGTCCCAACTTGTGTCTAATGCTAGCTTTTTTATAGATCATTTTATTGGGGGCTCTTTACAGCTCTTAAAACTGCATACCTCAATTGTATCAAGCATATCTGTACATATATTGCCATCCTTATTTTCCAAATATTTACTTTCTATTTGAGCCCTGGGTATCAGTTCCTATTTTTTCCCTCCTTCCCTCCTCCCAACCTCATGAGCCCTTAATAAATTATTATTATTTTCATAACTTAACACCAACCGCTATCTTCCTCCCCCTCTGCCCAGTTTCTGTTGCTCATTGGTCATTGCGATCGGTTCCCCCTTCCTCTGCATTTTGTAATCCATAACGTGGCTCAATTTGATCACGAATTACTCAAGTTATCAACATGCATATTATAATAAGGGTGAAAATAAAAATGAATAAAGACAACATATAATCTCCTTTCTCAGATAACTCATTTTATATTACAGTTCCCTGCCTCTCTATATCTTAATATATGCAAATACACTTTGCCGATTTTGTCATTAAAAAAATCATTATGAATATATAATTCTGCTCTTTCTTTTCTCACTTATCAGTATATTGTTCCGGGCTAACCACAGGGACCGCTTGTCTGCACTGCAGGTGTACTATCATGCACTCCAGCAATTCAACCCCGACGGCGGTGGTGGTCAGGGGCCCGAGAATACGCTCCGACTCGTAGCGGCTCTAAGCACAACAGGATGCAACACCGCCGGAGCCTGCACCATCCTCACCACCATTCTTACGCCCGAGCCATTGCTGCAGCCAGTGTGTCCATGCAGTTTGCTGAGGGTCTTCCTTTTTTCGCACTGCCCTCCACTTGACCAAGCACGATGTCCGTCTCCGAGGACGGGTCTCTTCTGATAATGTGTCCAAAGTCAATGGGAAGTCTTGTCATCGCTGCCTCTAAGGAGCTTTCTGGCTGTACTTATTCCAAGAGAGCTCTGGAGTTGAGACCTTAGTGGGCATTTAGATAGGGCAACTACTGTGGCTCTAAGAAAAGGTGACAGTTGAACAAAGACCCTGTGTGGCACGAGCAAATTGGCCATGAAATCTCGGGGGCATGAGCATGTCCAACCCAAGGACCATCAGCTGGGACAGGGCAAGACAAGAAGAGCTGGCAGCGGCAGACAGAGGAGTCGATGGAAAAGAGACATAATTCGAAAGGGGCAGGACATGTCAGAATCGAAACCAGGAGCAAAAAACACCTGGTTCATATTGTGTAAAACATAGTCCAGTTGCAATATAGAACCACTCTGTGTGCAGAAGAAATGGTGTCAGAATACCTCTACATTGAAAACTGCTGGTGGAAAAAAAAAAAAAAAGAAAACTGCTGGTGGGTGCAAGGCAGTGGATTATTTCATGGGTTTAATTAGTTAATTACTTAATTCTTCTAGCCGTAGCCTTCGTTACTCTTACCAAATGACCTTCATTTTCCTGACGGGTCTAGGTAAGAAAACGGAGGAAAGTCACTAACTGGATGGTACGATTCAGCTGTGAGTGACTGCCATCCAGCGGAGTATAAAATGGGCCCTCTCGGAAGCAGGAGGGTAGATCTCAACTCCAGCAAGAGGGAAGAGCCACAAACGTGCCCTACTCCCTGACCCTCCTCGATCTAGGAGACAGCTTTGATATTTGAGGAGCAGCAGGTGAACCAAGGGCCCAAGCGGTGGACCTGCAAAGCCCACAGAGCAAGTAAAGCTTTGGGGCAGGAGGCTGGCTTGGAGGGAGGTCGGGGCAGGGTGCTTCAGGCACTTAATTGGGGGACCTGGCTTGCCAACCCATAAAGCTGGAGCTGGGTGCCTTCGCTCCTATAGCAGCGTGGCATGGCCCTTGGATATTTACTGGCAGCCCTAAAAGAGATTTTCACATTGCCCATGCAAGGCAGAGGCCAGACCAAGTGGCTAAGGGCCACAGAGAGGCTTGCTTGAGTGCACAGCGAGAAGAAACTGTCCTGACTGAACACCTCGATCCTGTGCATTTCTCAACTGAACTGTAAACTTCCCTAACAGAGCCACGATGATGAGCATCCTCTGTCAGTTCTGTGTGGTCACTGCACTGAGTTAGTGGACCCAGCGGCAAAGGAGGGTGCCACGGGACAAATGAATGGTGTTCAGGATAGGGTTCAGAAGAACAGAACTGGGAGGTAGTCTGAGCACTGCCTTCTGGTGATCAGCTCAGCCTTGGGAGGCAGGAGAGGTCACATGTGAACCCCACGCCCTTTCCTCAGTGGGCACCAGGAGAGAATGCAAGCAGAAAGGCATAGATGAGCCTTAAAAATAAAGGAATATAAGTGGCTTCTTCTTCCAGCCGTAATGGAATGATAGGGATGGGGTTTACTCTTCCATCTCAAACAACAAGGGGTGAGAGGCGGATGCACCAGAAGTGTGAAGTTTCCGGTTTTTTAACAATGAACATAGAACAAAGAAGAACAGTTATCCCAAGAAAGAGAAAGAAACAAGATTTGTTCAGGGCTACCTACCAGCACTCAATGTGAAATGATTCATCTCCAATGTAATGACATGCTCAAAGGCAAATATCAAGAGAAAAGTCTACAAGTACCTTCGTGCGATTAATGTACTCAATTAAAATCATAAACCCATAGATTGATGGTGGCATTTGGCGGTGCTTATCTGTGCAAAAAGACTTTCCTAAAGTTTCTTTAAGATGAAATACATAAAATCTCATAATACATCACCATTAAAAACTGAACATTTGCAATTAATTTGATAGCATGACTAACTTTGACACACACCCCCAATTAAGCAGAATGTTATTTCCCCATGAAAAATGAATTCCATTCTTCTCATTAGACCTATATTATAAAAACCATACTCAATTATTATTATATCTTCAATGTTGTCAAATATTTTTCTCTCTAGTTATAAAGTAATAGTCTCAGATTTGCCTCATAGCCCAGAGAGCCTAAGAAAAGTACAGTCAAAGCCCAGGTCCAAGAAGGCTTCCCAGAGGTACAGTATCGGGGCTCAGCTTTCATGCCGGCCTTGGATTCCTCTCCGACCTGGGAGGCTCTTGCCAGGCAGTTTCTGCCCTGCTTCAGAAGACTGGAAGATCTCTCTTCAGATCTGTGTTTCCAAGCTGAGACTATACATGAAACATGAAATCCCCTGGAAAATCTAAAACAAGACACAAACAAAACCAGGTCCATGGAGACCAAAACAATAACCTACAAAAAGCATATAAAAATACTGATACAGCAAGTGCCAAATTGAAGTTATTGATGAAGTCAACAAAAGAAGCCATACCAGGAAGCCTGGTAGGGCTTGATGAAGGGCAATGTAATCAGGAGGAATTACTAAAGGCTGACATGATAGTGGGACAAGAGGAAAGCAAAACGAAAGAGAGGAAAGAACTAGGAGGCAAAGGGCATTTATAGAGATCTAAATATAGACATGTATATATATATATATATATATATATATATATATATGATGGAGAAATAGATTTTTGTATAAATATTTATAGGTTTAGTATTAAGGTAGCAGATGGACATTAGGCCTCTACTCAAGGACTCCCTCAATGCAAGAACACTTTGTTCTATTAACCTGGCATTCCATGATGCTCACCTTACCGACACAATCGCTGAAGACAAAAGCAGGTGCATAAGCAAATGTGGTGAAGAAAGCTGATGGTGCCAAAGATATAGCATCTGTGGTCTGAATGGCTTGAAGATAAACAAGCGGCCCTCTATCTGAGAAGTAACAAAGCCCACATGGAAAAAGCACACCAGCCTGTGTGATCATAAGATGTCGATAGGACCAGGTATCAGGCATCAAAGACCCAGAACAAAAAAAATCATATCATTGTGAATGAGGGGGAGTGCAGAGTAGAGACCCAAAGCCCATCTGTAGGCAACTGAACATCCCCTTACAGAAAGGTCGTGGGGAGGAGACGAGTCAGTCAGGGTGCAGTATAGCACCGATGAAACACAAAACTTTTCTCTAGTTCTTTAATGCTTCCTCCGCCGGTCCTCCACCCTCCCCCCCACCACTATCATGACCCCAATTCTACTTTACAAATCTGGCTAGATCACAGCATGTACATGGGTACAGATAAGAGTTGGAAACACAGGGAATCCAGGACAGATAAACCCCTCAGGGCCAATATTGAGAGTAATCATACCAGGAAGGTAAGGGAAAGGTGGGGGGAGAAATGGGGAACCGATCACAATGATCTACCTATAACCCCCTCCCAGGGGGATGGACAACATAAAAGTGGGTGAAGGGAGACATCAGTCAGTGTAAAACATGAAAAAAATGATAATTTATAAATTATTAAAGTTCAGGAGGGAGGGAGGGGCAAAAATCAAAAGCTGATACCAAGGGCTCAAGTAGAAAGAAAATGTTTTGAAAATGATGATGGCAACAAATGTACAAACGCGGGTGGCACAATGGATGAATGCATGGATTGTGATAAGAGTTGTATGAGCCCCCAATAGAATGGAAATAAAAAAGAAGAAGCCATACCTTGCTTGGCAGCTGAGCAGTAACATCTCACGGTTATGGATCAAAATATATAAAAGAACCAGGAAGGCTTTTGCTCGAATGCATGTCGAGGGGCTGTCCAACAACCGGATGATTGTGGAGACAAAGTCCTGCAGGAGAGACATTTTTGAAGTTTCCTGAGAACACAAGTCATCATTAGGGCAATCTGAATGATCGGGGTGAACAAATTACAGGAACCAAACAAACGGCAGGAAATAAAATACGAGCAGCCGCTGTTTGTGCATCCTTCTTTGTCCCGGGCACACAGTTAGCTTGTTCTACATGTTCGCTGGTTTAACACTGAAAGCTTGACGATATTCTCTCTGATTCGCAAACGGAACGGGTTTTAATGCAAGCCAGTCGGAGGACAGAGCCTGTCACTGTAACAACACACTCACAACTGCAAGGGGCAGTAAGTAACCGGACAGCCTGGGAGTCACAGCTGTGTACATGGAGGAACCGCTGGGCAAACCTACTCATTCAAAGGCTCTATCTCTCGTCCGTACATCTGCCGTACAATAAAAACAATACCCAACACAAAGCATGTCACCGAATTACATAAAAGGCAGACCTGAAATTTTTAATTAAAGATAGAATACAACACAATAGGAATACTAGTTGATAACCGTCATTGTTTTCAGATGCCCTGATAGCTCAGTTGGTTAAGCTTTGGGCTGTTTAACCTGCAGTTCAAACCCACCAGTCCCTCTTCAGGGAAAGACGCGGGTGTTTGTTCCCATAAAGATTTACAGACTCAGGAACCCGAGGGAGCAGTTTCTACTCTCCCCTATAGCACTGCTCTGAGAACAATCATCTTGATGGCAGTAGATTTAGTGTGGTTTGGTTGAGTCAGGTCTCTCCAGGGCAGGGGTCCTTAAACTTTTTAAACAGGGGTCAGTTCACTGTTCCTCAGACCATTGGAGGGCCGGTGAGTTAGTTAATTGTGCCAGCCTGGCCCATAATCACATGTGGGGCTACTTGAAAGACGGAGGGATAAATGGATAGTGAGCCTCGCCTTTCTCGTTGTTGGGTCTCTTGTTTTGTGATGGTTGCACCGGGTGCAGCTGCCTTAGCAGTTCCCTGCTTCAGCTTGCAAGATTGACTTCCTACAAGACATCCCCAAGGAGAAGCTACATGGACCTATCCCGATGCAGCCCTGGGTGCTGGAGCAGCCCTGTGGAGATCCCTGCTAGGGCTGAGATGCTTGTTCATTCACTGACTCAGCTTTCCTCCTGCAGTCGGCATCATTGCCTCTGTTTTGTGAGGTGGAGGACTTTGTGGACTGGTGTTGGGTTAATGGGTTAATGTTGGACTTGTGGGCTTGGGCAGTATTGGGTTGGGATGTTTTCGTGATGCATATTTTCTTTACATAAAACTCTCTCTTATACATGAGTTGCTGTGGATTTGTTTCTCCAAAGTACCCAGACTAATACAGCCGGACTATAGTTTTAAAAAAACTATGAACAAATTCCTACACACACTGCACATACCTTATTTTGAAGTAAAAAAACAAATGGGGCAAAAACACCCGGTGGGTCAGATAAATGTCCTTGGCGGGCCACATGTGGCCCACGGGCCATAGTTTGAGGACGCCTGCTCTAGATAAAGGTATGTAAAAAAGTAAATCCACATAGACAAGGATGTAAGTACTCAGGAATAAAGAATTCTATTGTTAGCAAAATGGATAAAGAGAGCAAAACTATAACCTCCCTTAGTAGAAGTATGTAGTTAGACCAACACTGGGTGTTCATACGGAACCTAGAAGCTCAGAGATTTTGTCCCAACTCACTCCTTTGATAACATATATTACCAGGCCAGGCAGGAAGAATTTACAGTCATTTCTAGACTTCTAGTAACGAAGTACAGGGGGTACCTCACACTGGCATCACCTCCGAGGATAGGTTCTAGGCAGGCGCCACAGGGTCTGGGGCCGAGTGGGCAGGGACAGTGCCCGCTGACTGCTGTGCTGACTCAGAGGCAAGGCAGGAGCCCACAGGGCCCCTTCCCTTCACGGTCTGAATGTAAGGATTGGTTCCTACCAACGGGTTGCAAGAAAGTCAGGCGCTTGTAACCCAGGGGCTGAGGGAATGTAAAAGGTTTATAAAATGAGGCAGATGTGTTCCTGATATCTTACAAGATAAAATTTAGGCTGAAAAGGAAACAAGACAAAGAACATTTTATAATCTTTCAAAACGCCACCATTCACAACGAACATGTAAGGGAACATCTAACAAGATTATCTGGACCTCAATTAGCAGAGCAACCATAGACAAGTGGAAATGACCGAAGATACAGGAAGCAATCGCTGCAAGTAGTAGAAGACTTTACCACACTACTCTCACTCCAAGACTGTCAATAGGACAAGAACAGGTTAGGATATAGAAGACCTAAAGAAGCCGATCAATAGATGAGATATCAGACTTCACACTCAAATAGAAAATATTTCTTCTTCTCACTCAGAGAAAATGTAAAAAAATGAATTTATTATAAACAAACATGAAACATGCCTTTAAATTGACCATATACTAGTTTTCAAAGAAAACTCTATATAGTGTCAAGGATAAAATAACAATAAGAAATAGTAGCATCAATAATTTAAAAGATCCGTCTATATAAAATTTTTGAACTCCTTATTTAATAACTCTTAAAGTAGAAATATAAACCAAAATTCCAGAAATAAGAAACACTGTACATCAGAAAATATAGCATATAATTCAGGCAGCAATCAGGGGGAATCTATACCTTTTATACATTTAGAAATTAAAGAATTAAAATTTAAGTTCTTAACACAAAAGGATGAGGGGAAAAGGTAAATAAAAATGAAGATGAAGTTTCTCTTATGTTTTCATAAATCCTGTCTTAGTCCTTTGCATGTTAGGATGTTAGAAGCTAAAAAGGTAGAAACAAAAAAATACAACTAAATTCTGACTCTTTGAAAACTACAAACGTAAATCCCTAGCTAAATTGATCAACAAAAAGAAGACAACAAAGATATACAAAATGAGAATTAACCTCATTTCTGGTTTCAATAAAATGGTGTGAAGGTCATCTATACTATGTGTAGCATTAATTCTTAAGTTAGTGCTGCACAACATTGCTTTGTGTGAACGTATTATTCATGAATTCACTCTACTGGTTGCTCTGTGTCTGGGACTATTATGAATAAAGCTCTATGTCATTATTATACTTACCTTTGTGTGAACATATCCACTTGGTTCTCTCAGGTACATACCTAGGGTCAGATTGCTACATCAAGTAGACAGCTGTGAAGCTTTAGTAAATACCATCAATTTCCCAAAGGGGTTGCAACACTTTATGCTTCATGTAAGAGGAGGCTCCATATCCTTGTTGACGCTCATTAGTATCTGTCTTATTATTGTTATTAAATGTGTAATTCTAAGTTTAGAGCAAATAGGAGTGGGCATGAATGACAGTCGGTTGATAAGAAGAAGTTTTCTGAAGAATCTAGCATAATTCACTTTACGGTCGTCAAAATTTTGCAAACTGGGTAACTCATCCCTCATCCTAAGATAGGATTCGTGAAAACACACAAAGAAAAGCCTCTTTAAAAGAACTGACTCGATGGCAAAGAGCGCAAGGAGCCCAAAATGAGATCTGGGTAGAAATAGTAAAAAACAAGGAAGAAGTACATCAACTAATGAAAGGATGTTCTCAGAAGTGCTGAGTACTCCAAAACATGTCCATAAATATTAAAATATATTTAGCCTTATAAACAGTAAGCAGTCACACATTTACCACTTACAAATGCAAATCTAAAACCATGATGCTGAAAACATCACCTGTGTTTCTCTTTCCCGCTCCCTTCCCTCCCCCCTCTACCTCTGCATTCCTTGTGAGTGGCTAGAGGAAGGGAGAGGCAGAAAACCACAGTTTTTGCTTAAAAAAGGTAATGAGGAGAAAGATCCCATTCCCAATGACCAACAAATATACAAGCTCTTTAATTTAGTGGGGGGAAGGCTGGAAGGTGAAAAATATGATTTCCACGAAGTGGAGATTTTGATTGAGTGGTGAAGGAACCCTTACATTAACACAGAGGCAACCGAATAGACTGGCTACGAACTCAGGATCTGGAGAGAGAATGTGCGTGCCCATGCCACACTCCTTTAACTTTCCTGTGCTTCCATCGTCTCAACCAAAATAAAGGGGACATAGTTACACTGGAACATCTCATAGGCTTAATATACTGACTAAACAAAATCCAGGGGCCTTTCAATCAATTCTGACTCAGAGACTCTATCGAGGGTTGCTGAGCTAAACATCTTTCCAGGAGGCAACAGCCTCATCTTGCTGGTGGGCTTTAAGGGCAGGCTTGCAGGTAGCAGTTCAACACTGACCAGAAAAGTACTGCACTAGCATGACTAGAAAGTGGAAAACATAATGGAGCATAAAGTCACTTAATTTCATTTTTTTTAAATTGATACAGAAACGATGAAACAATAGAAGAAAATTGAAACCCACTGTCAAGTCAATTGCAACTCAGAGCAACCCTAGCTGACGGAGCAGGGTCTCTAAAATGAAATTTTTATGGGAGCAGAGAGCCTCATCTTTCTCCCCAGAGAGGTCAGTGGGTTTGAACTGCCAACCTTATAGTTATCAGCCTAATACTTAACCCATTATGCCACCAATGATCCTTATGCAACAGAAAATTATAGGCATACTTTAGAAGACTCTAGTGTAAGAGTGACTTTTCAGTAATGCTAATCAAAGAGAGAGGAACAACCTAATGATCCAATATGTATCATTCTAAATGAACACATAATCTTGGGGGACAACTCAAATACTTGAAACCTATTATGGGGAACCACTATCAATATGTATAAATAACTTTTATTGATAAGGGAATATAGGTAAATACCAATGCCCAAAAAAGGGCACGAATAGGCAAACAACTCATAAAAGAATTTGACATTGACAACAAGCAAATTAAAATGTTTGCTCTTATGAGTAGTCAAGAATTACAAATTTAGAAAAAATAAGGACCCACTGTCTTGCAGAGGAGACAGCAGAGATGAAGTGGATGGCAACAAATGTGTAGCACGGTCATTAGTAAACTCATCCATCTCTTATCTCAGTATCAGTTGCCATCAAG